AATTCATTTTTTTTTTTTTTAAAAAAAGAATTGTTTTATTTAACTTTTTTTTTTTTTTTGGAGAGATTTTCACTGTAGGGCGCTTGCGCTCGCCAGAGACAGAGAGAGACAGAGAGACAGAAAGCGAGAAGTCATCCCCCAGGGGGGATGGTCACGCCGCAATCCCTTCTCCTCCATTCTCCTCTCGGGATCTTGGGCATGCACGCACACGCGCCCAGCGTGAGTTTTAAGCCACCGGGTCCGGGACACGAACCGCGGTCAACTACGTGGGAGTCCAGCGACATAGCCATTATGCCAACAGCTGGTCCCAATTTTTTTTTTAATTGTTTTATTTAACTTTTTTATTATTTATTTTATTTATTTATTTTTATTTGACCAGAAAGGGACAGAGTGAGAGAGAGAGAGAAAGTGAGAAAGCAAGCCACCAAGTCCAAGACTTCAACCATGGTCGGGCATGTGGGAGTCCAGCACTCTTAACCACTATGCCACCTGTAGGCCCCTATTTAATCGTTATTTATTTATTTTAGAAAGATTTTTGCTATGGGGTGCATGCGCTCACCAGAGAGACAGAGACAGACAGAAAAGGAGAAATCATGCCCCCTCAGGGAGAAGGCTATGCCGCAGTCCCTTCTCCTCCATTCTCTTGAGATTTGGGGCATGCATGCACACACACCCAGCATGAGTTCCAAGCCACCAGGTCCACTAGTCAACTATGTGGGAGTCCAGTGACATAACATTATGCCATCTGCTGGCCCCCATCCACTAGTTATTACTGAGTGACTATCCCGTGCCAGGCAGTGAGGACACAGTGATGTTCTCAATGAGACCAGCCCCCATGAGGTTTACATTTTAGTATAGAGACACATACAATCAACAAATAAGAAAATCTATATCCTAATGTAAGAAGTGATGAGTACTCAGGACTGAGAAGAGCTTAATGGTGCTATTCTACACAGCACGGTCCTGGAAGACTTCCAGGAGGAGGTGATAGCTAGCAAAACTCTGAAAGAGGTAAAGGAACAAACCAAATGGTTATCCAGAGGAAAGGCATGTCAGGCAGAGGGATCAGCAGGTGCAAATGCCTCCATCTGTGTCCTGGAGCACAGCGACAAAGGCGAGAGGTAGGAGGCTGAGGTGGTAGGGGGCCCCACTGCCGAGGGCTTTCAGATTGTTTTAAGGACTGTGGTGTTTTGCTCTGAGTAAGAAGCAAAGTCTGTCTAACGATCTAATGCGTGTTTAAAGGATCTCTCTGGCTGCTACAAGGAAGATAGACTGGCAGGGCATAAGAGGAGGGTGGCAGGGCCAGCAGGTGGCATGGCGGTTAAAGGGGCTGGATTCCCACATGACATACTGCAGTTTGAGTCCTGGACCTGGCAGCTTGCTTTCTCACTTTCTCTTTCTTTCTCTGTCTGTCTCTCTCTGGTCAGATTTTTTAAAACCGCCAGCAGGTGGCATGGCGGTTAAGGTACTGGACACTCCCACATGTTGACCACGGTTCGAATCCTGGACCTGGTGGCTTGCTTTCTCACTTTCTCTTTCTTTCTCTGTCTGTCTCTCTCTGGTCAGATTAAAATAAATGAATGAATAAAAGAAATAAAAAATAATAACAAATGGAATTAAATAATAAATAATTTTTTTTAAAAAAAGAGGATGTTGACTTTGACATAATTCAGGAGGCCTGGTGCAAAATGAGTCAGGGTCCCCTGTTCAAAAATTCTTAGGAATGTCAAGGTGATGACAGCAAGAGCCTTAAGCCAAGAGCACGCCCCAAGCACAGGTCCTTCTGGGATCTGGGAGTGGGGATGGACTTGTGTGACGGGTCAGGACTCATAAAGTCGCCCTGCTTTGAAGCAGGGAAAGCCAGAAGGCCAGCAGTCAGGAAACAAAGCAGAACAGGTCCCTAGCACAGCAGTTACACACTGGCCACAGAAAGCTGGATCCCATATGCCCGACCGCGGGCAGCGTGAAAAACATACCGGGCATACATACACCCCCAAATCCTGATAGAACAGAAAAATGGAGGAAAAGGGATCGCAGTGTGACCATGACCCCTTGGGGGGTACTTTCTCTCTCTCTGGTGAGCACACCCATTGTCTGACCATTTAAAAACACAGGCAAAGCAGGAAGTAGAGGCTGCTCTCACCAGGAGGTGGCAGAGAAAAGAGTGGGCAGCAGAGTTAAGGGCAAGATTTCTTAGGACATGGAGACGGAATCATGTATCTACACATGGGGACACTGGACTGCTAGACATGGGTAGGAAGAACACGAAGACCCCGGAGAGTGGAGGGTGGGGGGTGACCTGAGAAACACGCTGGCCACATGTATCCTGATGGGATGGAGACATGAAGGAAGGACTGCAGTGTGGCCACACCTTCTTGGGTTATGCCGTGGAAGGTAGGGGTAGGAGGAGGAATGGAGAGGACCAGAATCGGGGCTCTGTGGGGGTGTTGGCAAGGGGAGGGCTCAGGTCACAGCAAGCAGGAGAAGTCCTACAGGACAGAGAAATCATTTTGGGGCCAGCAGATAGCGTAATGGTCACATCACGAGAGTCCCACATGGCTGACCACGGTTTGAGTCCCAGACCCGGAGGCTTGAAAGTCATATTGGGCATATATGTGTGCATGCCCAAAATCCCTAGAGGCAAATGGAGGAGAAGGGATTGTGGCATGGCCATCCCTCCTGGGAGGTGATTTCTCACTTTCTCTCTGTCTCTCCAGTGACCACACGTGCCCTAGAGCAAAAATCTCTTTAGGGGCCAGCAGGTGGCATGGTGGTTAAGGTGCTGGACACTCCCACATGTCTGACCATGGTTCAAGTCCTGGACCTGGTAGCTTGCTTTCTCACTTCCCCTCTTTCTGTCTCTCTCTGTCAAATTAAAAATAAATGAATAAATAAATGACATTTTAAAAAATGATAATAATAACAAATAACATTAAATAATTCTTTAAAAAATCTCTCAAAAAATAATAATAAAATAAATAAATAAATCATTTCAGAGGCTGGCAGGTGGCATGGTGGTTAAGACACTGGACTCCCACATGGTCGACCACAGTTTGAGTCCTGGGCCAGCCAGTTTGCTCTCTCTCTCTGGTTAACTTGAAAAATAATAATAAATAAATAAAATTAAATAATTCTTTTTTTAAAAAAGAAAAAATATTTTTTAAAGAATTATTTTGTTTAATTTTATTTATTTATCTATTTTAAATTTTTTTCTTTTTTTCTTTTCGGAGAGATTTTCACTATAGGGCGCGTGCGCTCACCAGACAGATAGAGAGAGACAGAGAGACTTTAAGCCACTGGGTCCAGGACACGAACCATGGTCGACTACGTGGGAGTCCAGCGACATAGCCATTATGCTAACTGCTGGTTCCCTATTTTAAATTTTTTTTTTTTTGAGAGAGGTTTTTTGTTTGTTTGTTTGTTTGTTTTTGCTATAGGGCGCGTGCGCTCGCCAGCCAGACAGAGAGAGACATAGAGACAGAAAGTGAGAAATCACCCCCAGGGTGGATGGTCACGCTGCAATCCCTTCTCCTCCATTCTCCTCTTGGGATCTTGGGCATGCACGCACATGTGCCTGGCGTGAGTTTTAAGCCACTGGGTCCGGGACACGGACCGTGGTCGACTACGTGGGAGTCCAGCGACATAGCCATTACGCTAACTGCTGGTTCCCTATTTATCTATTTTAATTTGATCAGAGAGAAAGCAAGTCACCAGGTTCGGGACTCAAACTGTGGATGGCCATGTGGGAGTCCAGTGCCCTTAACCACCACGCCACCTGCTGGCACCAGAAAGAAATAATTTCATCTGAATGTAACTGAGAGGCTGACTTAGAGAACACAAACGTGTCCCCTAGATTTGGGATTAGGGCCGTCATCGGTGAGAGGTTTTGGTGGAGTGGCAGGGCCAGCAAGGAGAGAGAGGCAGATGAGATGGATCGTGGTGATCGGCAGGTGAGCACAGGCAGACGGTACTCTGCTTAAGTTTCATGGCAGAGTACCGTGAGTACCTGGTCCCCGGACAGGGGGCAGAGGGAGGGGAGCGTGACTGTGTTGA